GCAAAAAAAACGTGATTTCACATAAATATCCGTCGCAAAGCGTCGCATTGTCATAACTTCTTTCAAAATAGCTATTGAAACAAAGGCGGCGTCAGGCTCAGCTCGTCGAGAGCAGTCTTTTAATGTTACACTACAGTAACATCTAAAGTACATTGTAGGCATACGGTAGAAGATCAACATTACTGATACGTATCAAATCTCGCTTAGGGGCGTTATCGTACGCTGATCATGAAAATTTACGGGTTGGGTTACCTGAATTGCTGGTCATACTGATATTATTCACGTGCACGGCAGAGCCCCATTAAAAAGTTACGGAATGTGTACTAGGAAGGTCAGAATCCAACAGAAAAGTGGTCTATTAAGATTAATTGAAATGCTGATCAAGAATTACATATCCATTTTACACGTTTATCTCTACTATAATCTTAAAGTGCTAGGCGGCAAGTATTTGATTCATATTTTTCGCCTATATCAGCCAACAATGAATTATCCAGTTTGATTAACATCGTTGTGTCATTAGTTTGACACTTTGGTTCTATGACAATTGAGTTTGACAAGGTATCACTTGCTGAAATCAGTTGTCAAATGGTGACAAAATTCTGCATAGACGAGGCCACATTTGGCGAATACGCTAAATGTAAATCTTGAAGCGACATTTTCCAGTTTTTTGGGTTTTTTTGTCTGAATTAACAACGTAGTAACTTGAGAAATAATGAATAAGGTTTGTATATATATAAATAGTTTCAACCAACTTCTGCACTGTTTGGCGCGCTAGTGCTCACTTTCAACCTTTAGGGCTACATTTTCACATTTACAATAGCACAAAAAAGCCCAATACTGCACCTTTATCCGCACATAGTTGTACTAATCATTGGCCGTACGTTAGAAAACAGACCTCAAGAAGGCATTTTGTTAACATTACTCAAGGTACTCTTTAAAATTAGAAAAGTAGAATATCCACTTTATCATCGGATTGACGTTTCGTTTTCACAATCTTAAGATTACAGCAGAGATGATCGTGCAAAATGGATATGCAATTCGTTATCAGATTTCAAATAATTTTAGTAGACCACTTTTGATGGATTTTGATCACATCCATTAGGTATTATTCTTCCGATCGCATCCTACAAATGTTATTCTGTCTAATATTTTTGACATCGACCGCATCTTAGATGTTATTCTTTAAATATTATTGACTTCAATAAATGCTTCAATTTGAGTGGAAAAAATCAAAGTTGACTCAGAAAGAGTTTGGGATTCTTTCAGATTACTGTAACATTTGTGATGTAATCTGAAGTGTTTTGTGGAAGCAATTGTGAGTACAAAACAAGTAATTTTGAAAAATTACTTGCAAGACCTGATATATTCAGAAGTGTTCATTGTTCACGCAAAGACATACACTTCTCAATATGTACCACGCGGGTGTTCTAAAGCAAATTAAGAGATAGCAAATAATCAGTCTACTGAAGGAAGATTAAACTCACATTTACGTAAAGCGGACACGAGGATTCCTAATTTAAGCCCACTTTTTTTTAGAAGCACCCATCCTAGCGCCAAGCGAGGGGTACGTGCTACGCAGAGTGTTCCTATTTAATTAGGCAAGCAGTTTGGAGGTAGCACTTCCCATTCTCTCGCTACCTTACATTACCAGGATACGCATCCAAAACCTCAAATTACCCGAATACAGGCTTCTACATTTGACTGCTCTCAAATTTTCTTGTTGGATTGCGGATGTGCGGAATTCCAATAGAGCATCCCTGAAAACTGAATTGAGACATGACTGTCCTGGAGAAAACAAGTTTCGAAATAAAATTCAGTCAAATATCACAGGAAGTTAGCTGTGAAAGAGGTCACGTTAATTGGAGGACTACAATCTGCACGTGCCAGCAAAAATTTTTCTGCGCATTTGCGTAACCTACGGCAAGTTCCAAGCTTCGACAATAAACTCGTGAAAGGTCTAGCTGCAAAACTCAACAAGACCTTAATTCCACCCCATGTTTTTGTAGGTAGCAATATGTGTTGTACAGCATTTTTCTCTCAAAATTCTGGCCCTACTAAACCCCAACGCATTCGCACAGGTGTTGCACACAATACTGAATCATAGCTCGAAAAATGCACAGTCATTTCTTGCTCGGATTAAGCTGTCTCCTTTTCGGCACCCTTAAGAAGGAATAGTAACGTAAATTTCCTTATTTTTCTTGCATTTATTCCGTTTACACAGGTTCTGCTACTTGAGTTAAACTCTTCCACTTTATTCTGTCTAGGCATAGCGTTTGCCTACTCCCGCGTCCGATCTTATCTTTCCCTTCATCTCATTTTTGGTCTTTTTCGTGGTCTTCTACATAGCACTTTTAGTAGAAGAAGCTTCATTCTTCGATATCGAAAATTTGCGTATTTTGTTGCTAACCGCGACAGTATAATTTTCAGAACACACTATTGCAGAGCAAAATGAATTCCTTTCCTTTTTGACGCTTTTTACAAAAGGGATAAATGTAAGTTACTCCTAGCCTTTTAGCCAGCTTTAAGCAAGAGCAGAAAATAGGGGAAACACGGGAAAAAAAGAAGGGTCAGTAATCCGCCGAAAAATACAATTAACAATCATATCCTATTCGCAGTAAAGGCGTGGATTCACCTTGATGACGAACGAACTGTGGGCATAAAAAGTGCTCAGAAAAGAGCGCATCTCGTTCAAAGTCACTGCAATTTGCAGTGATCAAGTCCACAATTCTGTATCTGCATATCTGCACCCTAGGACCATTAGGCTGCACTGTTCATCAAACAGTCATGTTAGAATGATCCCTGCAAGAAATGATAACTGATCCCTACTGGTAAGCTACGTACGTTCTCCTTCTAAAAGTATTTGAAGTGGAAGACTATAAGATGATGGAGTTCGCTACTTTAAGCGGTCCTTTGCAGTCAAGCATCATGCAGCATTCCCATCAATGTTAGCCATGTAGGTAGAATTCCAACGGTTGTTAAGTTGGTGATATTGCGCACTATTTGAGAAAACATTATTTTAATTTCCGTCTATCGACGGCGCCGATGCTAATGGCGGACTAACTACCTTGGAATGCGTTAGCCTCTAATCTTAACTTGTAACCACGAGCAGAAAGTCCTTTACAGGACTACTGAGCGAAATGAGCACCGCTGCATCTGCTTCTCTCCCTTCAAACTATCTCCATCTGCCCAACTTGCAGTTAACCTGCACCTTTGATTCCCTCTTCATTTGCCAAGAAAACTGTCGCGAGTCGAGTCTGTAATGAATTTTTCGAGAGTCTTAGTGTTAAACATAAACTACTCCTTAAGCTATTTCGAGATATTTCCATCCTTTATAACTGCTGGTGGGCATAACAGCGGATAAATTGGTGAACCCTTATCCGAACATCTCC